TTAATAGAAGAAAGGCCTAAAATCAATGACCTAATGGTCCATCTTGAGAATCTAGAAAAAGAAGAACGAAGCAAACCCAAAGTAAGTATAATGAAATAAGAAGGACAAGAAGAGAAATCAATGAAATGGTAAAACAATAGAGAAAATTAACAAAATCAAAGTTGGTTTTGCTTTTCTGCCTATAAAAATTAACAAAATTAATAAACTCCCCATATTAGGAATGAAAGAAAGAATGTCATTATAAATCCTAAATATTATGAAATAGATTGGCAAGAGGAGCTTCATTCTCTACATATTAAAACGTCCTATAAACCTAGAGTAATCAAAATAGTGTAATAGTAGTTTTAAGGGTTGGTAGACTGATCAATGGCATGGGCTAGAAAGTCTTGAAACAAAAGAATTTAGAATGTGATAAAGATGGGATTACAAATTAGTAGGGGTAAATTAGGCACTCATCTTCCAATGTACACCAATAGAAGTTACAGATGCATTAAATTATGTGAAAAAAGTTAACCATAAAATATTTCAGAGGAAATATAGGTGAATATTTACCAGACCCTGTGAGGAGGGATTCTCTAAGCATGAAAACAGTAGAAGAAGAACCAAAAGGAAAAAAAAGTTGGGTCGATTGCATATAAAATCTAAACATCTGTATATTAAAAAAATTATAAAGGCAAAATGATAAAGTGGTATAGAGTATTTGCAATAATATTACAAAGAATTAATAACATCTTTAGCATATAATGAACTTACCTGTACCAATAAGAAAAAAATTACTCAATAGAGGAATGGGCAAAGTCCATTTGGACAATAAATAATTCACTGAAAAAGAAATTCAAATGACTTATAAAATCTATGGGAAACAGCTTTCCTTATTAATTGTCAAAGAAATGCAAATCTGTGCATAACAGTGTTTATTCAAGTGTGATTTTTACATTAGAAAAAAAAAGTTGGGACAAACTAAATGTAAAAAATAAAAGAATGGTTGCAACCATATCTTACATTTATGCTGAGGAATATTATACTGCCATGAAAAGAGTCATGTTTTAGAAGAATAATGACATGGAAAAATGCTCACAATGCAATATGGAGAGAAAAAGAGGAAAGAAAACTATATTGTCATGATCCCATTTTTTTAAAGTCTGTCTTACTAAGTAAATAGACTCTTACAGCAAAACTTGATCTGAACTGACATGAAGCTATCAACTTCCTATTACTTTTAAAGACAGAAAAGCAATACCAAGAACCTGATTTGTTAAAGGCCTTCAGAATAAAGCAAAAATTCACTAGAATCTTAGGTGATATTAAGATTCTAAAGTAGTAAATATCCTTAGTACAATGTATATTGCGTATTAATATTTTATCTATTACCAGAATCTAATCAATAGGCCTTACTTTAATATAAATAAATGACAGATTTTAAAGGTAGATCTCTACTTAAGTACCATAGTGTATTATATAAAAAGTTACTACATGTCTGCTTTCACTCTGTGTATTAGAATAACTAGGCTTGAGATTCAAATATAAATGCTATATATACTGTTCCACTGATGTCACAAGTAATATTTAATGGAAATTATTTTCCAGTTTAATGAACATTATTCTTCAGAAAATCTAAATCCTCTGTCATCACAACAAGAAATTGGTAAGTGATTTGAAGTTTGCTACATTTAAAAACATACTAACTTTCCCCCTTAGTACAGTATTTAGTTTCTCTAACTGATTTTCTTAGGTGCTCAGTTTATTCTTTAAAAACTACTGTTCCTTTTATACCATTCACTGATCATTTTTATTTTTAGCAATTCAGCTGCTTCTCTCACTACTATACCAAAACTTGCTTTCTCTGAGATTACTAATGACTTCCCAATTATCAAACATTATGGTTATGTTGCATTTATTATCATATTCAGTCTCTTTGCAGCATTTTATATGGTTGATTATTCCCATCTTCTTTCTGGAATTTTTGGATTTCATCCTCTCTCTCTGGTATTTTTTTTTTTTTTGGATATTCTTTGTTCATTTTCCCTTGATTAGTTAATTCATTCAACATATAAATACTAATATGTATATGTATTATATTTTATATCAGGTACTGCTTTAGGCTCTGGTGATAGAATAGTGGTCAAAAATGCAAAGTTCTCATAGGGTTTATCTTCTAGTGGGAGAAATTGAAAATAGACAAAGAAATCAATGTATAATATGTCAGTGCACTAAACAGTTGTTATGGGTTTGAATTGGCAGATTCACATGTTATAATTTTTAATCTAATATTACAATTTCTTTACTTTATAAAAAGATACAGGATAGGAGATAATAGGAAGTACAGCATCTTTGTCTCATTGAGGGGCCCACCAACTACCTAAATATAGTAATAAGCTTTCTTTTGCCACCTCACCCACGTGGAACATGTCAGGTTGCTATGGATAAGAGACATGGTGCATGTAGGTCACCTTGACATACGAGAGCTGTAGCCTCAGTTTCCCACCAGGCTTTCATATCAGTGGTCCCCAACCTTTTTGGCACCAGGGACCAGTTTCATGGAAGACAATTTTTCCACTTGGGGGGAATGAGGGATGGTTTTGGGATGATTCAGGCACATTACATTTATTATTCAATCAAACCTCTCTTCTAATGATGATCTGTATTTGTAGCCGCTACCCAGCGCTAGCATCACCACCTCAGCTCCACCTCAGATCGTTAGGAATTAGCTTCTCATAAGGAGTGTGCAACCTAGATCCCTTGTATGCGCAGTTTAGAGTAGGGTTCACGCTTCTATGAGAATCTAATGCTGCTGATCTGACAGGGACGGAACTTACGTGGTGATGCAAGTGATGGGGAGTGGCTATAAATACAGATGAAGCTTGGAGCTCACTTACCTGCTGCTCACCTCCTGCTGTGCAGCCCTGTTCCTAACAGGCCATGGACTGCTACTGATCGGTGTCCTGGGGGTTGGGGACCACAGTTTTATATGATTCTAGTCGGGAGGCTCAAGGCCTGTATACTGACTCATAACTCCTCTAATTCAGGTGCAATCCGACACAGCAGACTAGGCAAACACAACATTCTACATTTATCTTAATTCTGTATTTTCTAAGAAAACAGTGCTGTGAGAAGTCAGACTCCAAGGTCCTTCTTCCAGGTGGGCCTGAATCAGCCCAGGCTTGATGTTAATTGTCTACTTACTGTTGGTGATAAATATTATGATGAAAAGTAAAGCTGAGTTGGGGGAATAGGGAGTACTTGGATTGAGAAGGTGGTTGCTGTGTTGCAAGAGAGTCAGAGAAGGCATCACTAAAAGACATTTGAGCAGAGACCTGAAGGAGGCACAGGTACAAGCTACTTGAGGAAAGTGTTCCAGGCAAAAGAAGATACTCAATATGTTCATTGAACAGTAGGTAAATTGGTATGATTGGAATAGAATAAGGAAGAGAAACTGGTGGGAGATTAAATCAGAGAGGTGGAGGGGAAGCAAATCATGTGGGACCTATAGACCATTAAGGACTTAGGGGTTTTTTCCTGAGTGAGATGGGAAGCCATTGGAAGGTTTTGAGCAAAGGACCGAAATGATCTAACAGGTTTTTAAAGAATTACTCTGGCTGCTATATGGAGAGCAGACTGTAATGGAAACAACGGGAAAAGTAAGAGATAGATTAGGAACCTATTAAAATGATATAAGTGAGAATTGATGGCAACAAAAGTAGTGAGAAGATGTCTGATTTTGGTTATAGTTTTATGAAGACAGAACTAGGAAAATTTGCTTATGGACCAAATATAAAGATGAAGAGAAAGAAACAAGGATAATGCCAAAGTTTTGACATGAATAACTGTGCCATTTATTGAAATATGGGAGGGTTGTAGGAGAAGATAATTTGAAATTGGAAGGAGATAGGGGTTTAACTTTGGAGGAGTTATAATTGAAAAGCCTATTTGTTAGATATATAAGTGAAAGTAAAGTAGGAAATTATATGTAAGTCTGGAATTCAATAGGATGGAGACATAGATTTTGGAATTTTTATAAATGGTTTTTAATGCCGTGAGACCAGAATGAATCCACCGATTGTAGACATTCATTAAATTTTAAATCTAAAATTTAAAATTTAGATTTAAAATCTATTTACATTCTCTTCTTTTACACTTTCATTCATTTGACACTCATTCATTTTGGTGCTTTCAAATATAATAAATGCAGGTGATGACCAAATTCATGTCTTTCTGCACTGACTTCTAAATTCTAGGACCTTATTTCTGATTGTATAATTGAAATCTCTTTATATCTAAGACATCCCTTGACATCAAAAACTCAGCATATCTAAAATCAAACTTGTTCTCCTTCTGATGTCCCTAATGGTATCCTCATTGTTCTGGTTTCTAAGATTCAGAACATGAGTGATAATTTTAACTTCTCCCTGACTGTGACTACATTCATCTAGTTATCAAGTTTTATCAGTTTTCTCTCTGAAATATTTCTTTTTCTTTTACATTTTCATTGAAACCATTATATTTCAAAGTCTTATTGCTGTTCACTTGGGCTATTACAGTAACATCCTAATTGGTCTTTTCATCCTCTCAGCTTGCCTGTAGATCACAGCTTGATTAATCTTCCTTACACATAATGTTGGCCACGTCACTTCCCTAATCCCCGGATACCTTCAGTGACTCCCCATTAACTGCCAAATTATGCTCCTACTTTTCTAACCTAGCTCCAACATACCGTTTTAAAAAATTGATACATAGTAGTTATATGGGGTATAGATGATGTTTTGATACCTGCATACTATGTGTAATAATCAAATCAGGGTAATTGGGATATTGGGTAATTGGATATGTCACCTCAAACATTTGTCATTTATTTGTGCTGGGAACACTGCAAGTCTTCTCTTCTAGCTATTTTGAAATGTACTATAAATTCTTGTAAACTATAGTTGCCCTACTGTGCTACGGAACATTAGAACTTACTCCTTCTATCTAACTGTACCTTTGTACCCATTAACCAACTTCTCCTCATCCCCCAATATACCTTTTAAGCCTTTCCTCTTATCAGAATAACCTGTGCTTTGGCCACTGAAGAACACAGAGTATCTCAAATATGCCTACACTTTCTTATTTTTTTCTTACAATCCCCAACTTCTGTCTCTTTCTATCTTTCAAGATCAGGTTCTCTTCCAGAAAACCTTTTATTTACCCAAACTTCTATTCGAAAAAGATCTCTCCCTCACTTTTCTGAATGTCTCTTCTTTTTCACACTTATTTACATTCTACTTCTATCACTAGTTATTTATGAAAATATATAAAATCTCCTCTAGATCACAGGTTTTTTGAGGGCAAGGACTCTTTATTCATCTTTGAATTCCCCACAGCACCTATAATGCTGTCTTTCATAGTAATCTATTATTTTATTATGATGAGCATAGGCATTTTATAAAGACCTCATATGAACTTCTTCTGAAATTAAAGACAAAATCAGATTAATTTATTCAAAGAGAGATTCAAGATTTTAGTTCTTTCTGGATCTACGTCTGCATTATGCCTCTTTTTAAGTCTTATGGATGTGTCCTGAAAAATACACATGTGGAAAAATAAAGTGAAAAAGTGAGAAAGAGAAAGAACATGAGTATCTGGTCATCAGTTTGTCTGCCTGTCAATCTATCCATCTGTCCATCCATTCACCCATCTGTTCATTCAACTATCCATCCATCCATCTTACTGCTGGTTGGCTCAGCCCTATGTAGGGTGAAATAAGTGGGATGTTTAAAAATATATGAAAATTTCAAAGTGACACAAAGTGAACAATTTTGCTTAACGTACTAGTTGATTAGTTCTCCATTCAAAAAGCATAAGTACTTAAAAGGATTTGTTTCAAGTAAGTCTTTGGATTACTGTAGATTTGAAATTGTTTAACGATAATTGATTTTAAATTATAATTAGGATATTGAAAATATATTTTTGTATTTATAGTTTTAAATAATATGATAAATGAAAAACAATGTTTTTCCTTAATGGAAATTCTAGGAGTCATCAACCTAAACTTCTACTTCTAGTTGATTTTAAAAATTCCTTTTAAAACTTTAGAACTCTGTTGACTGTTATGTCAATTTCCTTGAATGACGCCATGAACAGTATATTGTAGTTACTGAATAAATAATAGTTGAATAAGTTTGACTTATGTGGTGTCTCTCAGATACAGCATTTTTTTCTCCATTCCCATTGCTATGATTGTAGGTAAGATCGGGCTTTCATCATCTCTTTGCTGGAAAATAAACTTTTTTTTCTTTTTGGTTATCCCAACTTTTGAACTCTCCTGTCCAGCCTTTCTACACATTCTCTCCTGAGTAATCCTTATAAGGCAGTTCAAATCATGTTGTATTTCTGCTTGAAAATCTTTAATGGCTTCCGGTTACCTATTAAATGGTCCAGATTCTATAATGGGACATTCAACAATGTTTCCAAGCTCATCATGATTAATTTCCATTTAATACATCTTTATTAATTTTTCACTGCTCCTGATAAGCTAAATTGATTTCTGTTACCCTGGCCTAATACTTCTCTGCATACCTATTTTTATGCCTCTGTGCTATTCTTTTCATTTGAGGTGTTTTACCCTACTTTCTACCTTATATACTAGTTCTTTATATACTTGAGTTCAAATTACTTGAAAATAGGGTTTGAGTCTGTTTTAACCTTAATAATATGGAATACAGTACAGCCTTGCACTTAAGAGGAATACAGTTATTTAATAAATATCTACTAAATAGATAAAAATGATTCAATGTTACTCTATTTATTATATGCAGTATACTGCAATTCTGTAGGTTATATAAATTTTATATAACATGAATAACATTATAATATTTATCTTCCTTAGGAAACTTATTCGAGAAACCAGGAGAAGATGCATTTACATTTTCTTTTCCATCAGTCACTTCAACTCATACATTTGGAGCTGGAAAAGATGATTTTAGTTTTCCGTTTTCATTTGAACAGGATGAAAATTCGACACCTTCTTCTTCTTTAAAAGGTTTTTCATCTTCCTCACAAAACACAAGCCAGTTTACTTTTTTTTGAACTACTTATTAATTTCTTGAATTATTTTTCAGCTCTGCAATGTTTGAGGGCATAAATTTACTTTATTACTTTAAACATGAAGACTATCTACTTTTTTGTTGATTAAAGCAATAATGGGTTACCGTAGTTATATTATTTGATTATATTTACTGAAATATTGAATATTTTGTTTTTATTTGTGGCATTAGCTAATCCTTATTTATTTTGGTTTTGATTTTGCAAGCCATGTTCAGGTAGAACTATTATTAATCTTAATAGAATTTGATGCTTTTTTTCATAAATCTTCACTTTAAATAGTAAGTTTCATTCTGGTAGCATTGTAGCTGCTTTCATAAGAACAAGAACTCTCCCAGGCCATCAGAAGACTTTTTAGTAGTAACTATGCAGAATTAGTGCTGAGATATACTTTAGTTACTAAAAAATTCTTTTAAAATTACTGGGTTTCATTTATGCTTCACTGCTGCAGTACTCTAATCAAAGAATTTATATCATTAATAGTGAAGAAAGTCTGTGTTATTTTCTTCTAATACAACAAGTGGTAAAATTCTAATTTCATTAGTTGTGCTAATATCTTTAGTGAATGAAAATTAAGTGTGAAGGGCTAGAGTAATTTTTAAAAATTGGATTGTTGTATCAGTGGTGATCCTGTTAATGTATTTTTTTTGTTTAAACCTTTTTTTGAAGAACATTTAAAATATTTTCTATCTTCAATAAAAATTAATTTCATCTTTATATTCGGTATTTGTCAATTAATTGGATATAGCTTAAATGAAGATATTTAAAATTTGATGAAATTATATAAGCATATTGATCAATATCTTTGTATTTTGTGCTTTTAAAATTAGTTGTATTGAGTTATCAAGTGATAAAGAGTTTGACTTCATATTTTGATGTGTGACTGCTGACAGATTATAAAACTCACCCCTTCTTTTTCCCTTTTTACTCCACACCTGGCCAAACTGATAAGAAAGCCTGGTTGCTCCCTTCTTTAGTGCCAGTAGGAAGTTCAAACCATGTGTGGGAACCCTCACCCCAACCCCACTTCCTAACCACTGTAAAAACCCAAAGCCAGTCTCCTTTCTCTACTTTCTCAAGCCATTTGCAGATCAGCTTGGAATGTCTGCTCTGCTCTCCCCAGAAAGCCTCATTATATGAGTAGAAAAACCTTTTCATATCCTGTTGTGGGTGTATGTGTGGCATCATCAGTCTTAATATGCAAGTCAAATTTTGTGTAAGGGTCTATTTTGCTTCTTTAGAGTGTCCACACATTATCACAGTTGTATTAAATTAAGCCTTCCCAAAGACTCTTAAGAAGAAGGTTGATCTAACTAATGAATTTAAGAAAACTTTGTATTTAAAAAAAAAAAAAACAAACGTTCAACAGCTAGTCAAAAGATGAAAATTTTAGTTGGAAAGCTGGAGTTATTGTTTTCACATCAGTATTTATTTTATTGTCCCTATGATTGAATTATTCGGTAGTTTTAATATAATAAAGATTGATTATATATGAGAAAGGAGAAAAAAGTTGGAATTGGTTTGTTTGTTGTTTATTAAGAGATCAAAACTTGTTTTAGCCTTAAGCAAGCCAGTGATTCCGTGGTTTGTTTTTACTTTAAATTAAGTAATGTCTAGCACACCAGTATGGTTAGATTTATCATGTATTGATAAATGAGGTAACATAAAAATAAGTGTTTTTAAAGTATCTACAGTGGGCATGGAATTTTGATAGCATGTAAAAGGCTAGAACACAGGCATAGTCTTATACTCAAGGAACTTATAACTTGATTGAGGAGATAAAACTTAGGAGATGACAAAATCACGTTACAATAAAATAATTATAATTAAATTCTATAATTTATAACTTGGTCTGTGGTAGAGAAGAGAAAAAGCATTTTAAAAACTAAGAAAAAGAAAGAACATTATGGACTGGAAAGCCTAGGAAGGATTTGCTGGGGAGGTATAATTGAATTAGGACTTTAAAGGTATATAGATTGTAAAATTCTTGAGTGTAACGTTGATGCCTTTTTAGATTTGCATTTTTTATTGCCTAATTCTAGTGGCTAGTCTTTAGTATAATTTCATTAAACACTTGTTAAATTAATAGAATTGAACTGAATAGGTAAAGGAGACAGGGAGAGCTTTCTAGTTAAGGGGAATAATATGAGCAAAAGAAAATGTAATCACAAATTCACTATGTGTGGAGGAAATTAAAGAATAGTCCTATTTGGAGTGGAGAATAAGCAGGAAATTGAGTTTAATAGATATGGTAGGACTGATTTATAGAGGATCTTGAAGTGTTTTGACTTGATTTCTGAGGCCAATAAGGAACTTGTATCTTAAATGTTGGAGCCACAAGAGAAAAGAAATGAGTAAAGAAGATTAAACTGACAATATAGTCAGAGTTGGGAGAAATTAGTGTTAAACCCATTAGGAATCAATTGTAGTAGTTCATGAGTGTGATGGTACATTTCACATGATAATAACTGATTGTCTTGTGATTTGATACTGCTGATACATAAAAATTGGAAAAGTATATCTTGTTTAAAAGAAGTATATTTGAATAATATCTGGGTGTAAGGTAAAAGGAGAAAGGAACCAGAGTTGTTTGGTTGGGTTTGAATATCGTAGGTCATCCAACTAGTGGAGGCATGTACAGTGTTTCTAATACAAAAAATAACTTTGTGTAATCAAATAGCCTTCTAAACATAACTTTTTAAAGAGAAGTATTCCCCTAAATATAAATCAAATCTGCTTATCATCTTCAAAATAGTAATTTGTCCCCACTTCTATTCAGTAAGATTTCAGAAATATGGGATCCAATTCCCGAGCCCCTTATTACATTTATAAGAAAAATCAACACTGTATATCTAATTATGTTTAAGAAAAAAGCTGTTTTTATATGATTAGACTAATTTTTTCTCTCTGATTAGGAAAGCTATTCTAAGAATATAAGAGTAATACTCCAAAATCAGTCAAGACTCTGATTTATTCTCAAAGGAGATGTATGTATAAGCACAAAATAGCTCCTGAGGTATCCTTGCTTCTCAGTGGGCAAAGATAGACTGAGTAGGTAGAACTAGGAAATACATGCATGTATACTGTATCTATATATACACATGTCTGTGTGTCTATTTATCTTATCTGCTGAAAACAAAACAAAATGAAACAAAATATGAGTTTATACTGGTAAGTCCAGCAACATGAGGTTCATTCTAGTATTCTCCTTTTGTTTATTTGTAACTGCTTTCTCTGACAATGAGAAGCCTGGCTGTCATTATATACAATATATTTACTTTCTTGTTCAATCCTAGTATACATGTAAATTAGTTTCAGAATTGCTAACCCAAACCCTATGAGAATAGAATTTATTAACTAGGTTATAATACTTGGCTGGCTACTGTAGCAAATTACCACAACTTTTTTGGATTAAAACAACAGAAATTTATTGTCTTATAGTTCTGGAGGCCAAAAGTCCAAAATTGGTTTTACTGACCCCAAATCAAATTATCAGCAGGACGATGCTTTCTCTCAAGGCTCACGGGGAAGAATCTGTTCCTTGCATCTTTCAGCTTTTGGTGGATGCTGGCATGCCTTGGCTTGTGGCTACATCACTCTAATTTTCAAGGCCAGTGTCTAGTCAGGGTTCTCCAGAGAGCTAGAACCAATTGCATGCATCTGTCTATCTGAGGGCACAGCCCTGGGGCTCCTCTCTTACTGTTTTCTTGAATCCAGGAGCTTCTCTTGGATCTTAGCCAGGCCCCAACCGGGCAAGTTGCCCTGAACCCTCTCCCTACCCACTCTTGGTGCTTCCCATCACTTCCTGGGTAAATCTAGTGTTCTCTCCTACATGATCTGTTTGAAATGTGAGAATCTATTTACTATTCTGTTTCCTCTCCATGGAGGAGGCATATACTACCTGTGTTGAGTTGGTCATCTTCTCACCCAGCCCAGTCTTTTTTTTTTTTCTCTTTTTCTTTAAGCTGCGTTTCTTCCCCATTCCACTGCATTGATGTCACCAAAACATCTTTCTTCCTAGGTAACCCCATCAACAGCCTAACATGTATCCTTCCATATTTTTCCATGCTCAAATAATCATATAAATTCATAAATATACATATATACATATATACTCACAAACATATTGGGATTTTTTCATTATTTACTTTATAAAAAGGGGATAACATTCCACACTTTTTTTTCTTCATTTTGATTTTCTTACTCAACTTTTTGCAAATCCTTTTAAGTCAACCAGTACAGCTCTAATTTATCCTTTTAATGGACACATACTATATACCATAACTTATTCTAAGATTCTCAAACTAATGGCTATTCACTTTGCTTCCATGTTTTGCCACTAAACACAAATTCAGTAAATTTGTATATGTTCTTAAACTCTGATAGCTTTATTTCTGTGACATAAGTTCTCAGACCTGGGATTAATGGGACAGTGGGCATATAAATTAAACTTTTTATTTTGATATAATTTTATATTCACATGCAGTTGTAAGAAATAACAGAGATCCATATACCCTTTGCCTAGTTTCCCCCAATGGTAGTGTCTTGCAAAACTTTTGTACAACTATCATAGTAATATGGATACAGTACTGTACAGTCAAAATAAGGAACAGTTTCATCATCATAAAGTGAAACTTTTAGAACCACTCTCACCCCACCCCCCATGACCACTGATAACTACTCATATGTTCACCATTTCAATAATTTTGTCATTTCAAAAATGTTATATAAATGGAATCATACAGCATGTAACTTTTGGGGCCTGGATTTTTTTTCACTCAACAAATTTTTCTGGGGATTCATCCAAGTTGTTGAGTTTATAAACAGCTTGTTCCTCTTTATTGCTGAGTAGTGTTATTTCATGTTTTGAATGCACCACAATTTGTTTAACCATCTTCCCATTGAAGGACATCTGAGTTGTTTTCAGTTTTTGGCTGTTAAAAATAAAGCTACTGTGAACATTTGTATACAAGTATTTATGTGAA